CTGACAGCAAGAATTTCAGCAGTGGAAGTGTTATGAAAGTGAACGTCGAAGTGTTCCCACCATCCAAAAAAGAGGAGCAAATAGAAGTCAAGAAAGAGATACTTTATTGTTGATTTTTACTGCAAATCAAATTCCAAGGGAGAGACCTGAGTCTTCAGACAGAAGAAAGCAATGAGGGTAAAACTCAGTTCTAGGTTCTGAAGCAAAAATCAAACTTTGAGGTTCAGAGAATGTTCCCTCTGGTGCTATTCTTATTTTTCCAAGTTCATAACTCCCTCAACACCCCAAAATACGCATTCATGATTCAAAGACAAAAGCAAATTTTCAAGTTCTTTTCGAAACCCTCTCTTTCTTTCTCCCCGTGAGCCTTTTGAACTTTTCTGTCAGTTTACTAGTAGCAAGTGGAACATTCCCCAAACAGGAAAATACACCATGAAACCCTGTTACAACATCCTTCCTTTTAATGTTTTCTATCTGGATCATTCAGTTTGAAAAGTCCCAGCTGAAGGATTAGAAAGCAGTGTTGCTGCTACTTCAAGTTTTCACACCTAAAATCTTCAGAGAATTTCCTATCAATAGAAAGTATTACAAAGAACATTTCATCAGGTCTGAAGTGGCCCATCTGCAGGCAAAAGGCTGGTTGCATAAGCATGAGAAGAGATCTGAGAGAATTCATATTGACTGTGGCTGCCTCCCTTCACCAGAACCTCACTGAGAACCTTGCAATGAGAGTGTGCCTCTCAGGCACAGGCACCTCCACAACAAGATGCAGCCGTGTATCAGCAGAAGAAGGCTGCAGATGGGTGGGCGCAGTGGCTCGTGCCTGTAATCCCAGCACTTTGGGAGGCCAAGGCGGGAGGATCAGGAAGTCGGGAGTTGGAGACCAGCCTGGCCAATACAGTGAAACCTCATCTCTACTAAAAATACATAAATTAGCTTGAACCCAGGAGGCGGAGTTTGCAGTGAGCTGAGATCACACCACTACACTCCAGCCTGGGTGACAAAGCAAGAGTGTGTCTCAAAACAAAAAAAAAAAAGAAGGGGGCTGCAGAAACCTGGGAGGAGCCCTGTCTCCTGGTGACCTTGGGCCTCATTATTCCACTCCTTATGGTTTTTAATCTCCTCACTACTCTGGAAAGTGGGAGCTGGAAACAGGAAAATGCCAACTGGATTACTATATATGATTTCATATTATGATTGCACATATACACACAGAGGTTGATCCTTTCAACCTTGATAAGAAATTAAATCAAGCCCCAGTACAGTCATATGCCATGTGACATTTTGGCCAACAATGGACTGCATATACACTGGTGGGTCCGTTAAGATTATCATACCATCTTTGTACTGTACCTTTTCTATGTTTAGATGTGTTTAGATACACAAATACTTGCTATTATCTTACAACTAGCTACAATATTCAGTACAGCAACATACTGTACAGGTTTACAGCCTAAGAACAGTAGACTACAGCACATAGCCTAGGTGTATAGTAGGCTATATCATTTAGGTTTGTGTAAGAACTCTATGATGTTTGCACAATGGAAATCACCTAACGATGCATTTCTTAGAATGCATCTCCATCATTAAGCTATACATGACTATACTTTTTTTTGCATTAGGATATGAGGATATGATACATCCTAATGAAGGGATTGTTACCCGCGGAGCAGCCCAGAGAGGAGGTAACTTGAAAGAAGAGGAAAGTGAGCCTAGGACTCTCTGACACCTATTTTTGAAAGCAAAGGACAGTGGCAATCTATCTACTAGAAAACCTCAACTTAACTGTCAGGAATCCTTAGATAAAGAAATTAAAGTTTTTCTTTGCATTTAAAAAATTTTAATTATTTTCAGAGATGAAGGTGTCGCTATATTGCCCAGGCTGGCCTTGGACTCCTAGGCTCAAGTGATCCTCCCGTCTCAGCCTCCTGAGTAGCTGGGACTCTAGCCATGCACTACCACATCAAGCTTTATTTTCTTCAGTTTTTAAGGGTTCTTCTCCATCTTTTGGGGGAAAAAAACCTCAACATTACTGTGACACAGAAAGCACACACAGAAAAGTATACAGAACATAAATGTACAGCATAATAAATATAACGTGAACATCCATATAACCACAACCAAGATCAGGAGCCAGAGCACTGCCAACGTCTCTTACGGGTCTTCCTAATAAATGTTCTCTTCTTTTTCAGAATTCAGGAGTCCAACACTGGACCTCCTTTTATGTTTCGGGCAATTGCCTCCAAGGCTTCCCAACTTTGATCTTTTTCTTCCTTCCTGTAGTTCATTCCTCAAAAGAGGTTTGCAAAGTAATTGCCCATAATATCTATGCTTATTGAACTAGTACTCCATTTAATTTTGATAAAACAATTAAAACAGGAAAAACTAAAACGACAATGGTTTCCTATGCATTGAAAATATTAGCATATTCTTTTCCAAAGTGCCAGGATGTATGGGACCTTGCTTCCAGTGGGAATCTCAAGATGTATAGGCACCTTCCACTTCATAAAAGGAATATGCTTGAAACAAGCACTGGTGATTAACAGCACAACTTATTTTTGTCCAGTGAGGTTTCCCATCTTCAAAGGTTGTAACATAATAACCCCCAAAAATATAGACTATGAATGTTTTAAAGTTAGAAAAGTAATATTCTGATATTCAACCTAGGATGCACAATCACGTTACAATTGAGGTTTGAGGGCAACTACTGTCATAAGGAGAACTAGTGCCCAATTCTATACAGAAAATGAAGGCAAAAGAAAGTTCTAGTTGAGGCCAGATGTGGTGGCTCATGCCTATAATCCCAGCACTTTGGGAGGCCAAGGCGGGTGGATCATGAGGTCAAAAGATCGAGACTATCCTGGCCAACATGGTGAAACCCTGTCTCTACTAAAAGTACAAAAAATGAGCCAGGTGTGGTGGCGCACACCTGTAGTCCCAGCTACTCAGGAGGCTGAAGCAGGAGAATTGCTTGAACCTGGGACGCGGAGGTTGCAATGAGCTGAAATCATGCCACTGCACTCCAGCCTGGGTGACAGAGCAAGACACCATCTCAAAAAAGAAAAAAAAGAAAGTTCTAGTTGGTGTATGGTATGGCAAAGCCATAGTATCTGTACTGTTACATTCCCCTTGTTGCCTAAAAAGTACCTTATTACTAGAAGCTGTTCTATATGTTTGTTGATTGAATTCATTCCTACGTAAATAATTCCGCAAAAAGAAAACAGAATCATGCTTATTAGTTTTATGGTTGTGCCTTCTTAATCATACTCAAAACGTGGAGAATCCTAAGCTATGCTCAAGCTCAGGCTCTCAAAGGAAATTACTATGCATAATATACAGCTGAGGAATACTGGCAAGCCTATTGGTACATCACGTTTGTTTCTATTCTTATTTTTCACTTTTCTTTCTATCAAATGGTGTGAAGTGTAGTTTCAAAACAAGATTCAGAAACAGTTACAAGACAAGAGAAAAGCTCTCTGGGAGGGGAAAAAAAGCAGCAGCAGCGGAGGCTATCTCTTTGTTCCTGTTCCACCACTGTCAGGCGAGTGGAGAGAGAACAGAGGATGGCTGTAGGTCCTTACTTTCTGCACAGCGCCACCTAGTGGTCCGGGCCATGAAATTGTTTTTATTTTGCCAAAGGTTGAAGTTGGAGATTCCAAGGCTGTGAACAGTTTTGACAAGTCGTAACTAATATTTATGGGAGGAGGTAAATGCCAGCTGAAGAGTTATTTAGATGGATTTTGGAATCATCTAATAAGAGCATGTCCCTTATCAGTAATGGCTGTCTCTTCACCTCTGTGCTGAAGTCACCTAATGAGGAGTCTACACCCCTGGGTCGCTGGTAAGGAAACACCAACCAGCCTTTTCCATACCTGCCCCGAGCTCCCGGGAATCCATATTCAATTACACCCCGGCTGCCTCAAGGAAGGTCTGGAATGGAAGCTGGAGGGCAGCCTTCTGATGGGCACTGCTACTAGTTCTGCTTACTGGAGCATGTTTGAAGAATTAGCCTGATTTCAACTTTCCTTCCAAGTTAAGATGAAGCAAAGGCTGGAGACTGTGGCTTTTCTTCTTAGCCAGGCTTTTCATTCCTCTGCAAGTTGCTAAAAATCAGACCTGGCAGCCAGTAAGAGGGATGTAGGGAAGAAAAGAAGAGGAAATAGTGAACAGTGAACAGTGATAAAGAAGTTTCTCTTCCTTTTTTTCTTAAAAGCATGCCCAAAGCTACTTCCAGACCTAGATAAAAACATAAAGCCCTTGAGAGTAGAGCTGTGAGAAGACTGAGTTGGCTGCCCAGCTAAAAGCAGCAGAATCCCAGGTAAATTTTAAAAGGTTGACTCAATTAGAACCCATTTGGAAAAACAGTTAAGACCTCGAAGTTCTGTTCTTTGGCCCTAGTTTCCCTAGTTTCCTGCTTTTTTGGCATGAGGACGGTCAGCAACTAAACAGAAGGTAACTGTAAGTAGGCAAAGGCCATGTATATAGGCCATTGATGGATCTGTTGGTTAGGAGAGAGGTGGGGTGGGGTCATAACTAGGCAGAAATTGGACAAAGATGATCTTTGAGGAACCCGTGACCTCTGATGCCTCTGATTCAGCACACTCCATTCACCTGGAATCACACGCAAATAGAAATAATCTTCCTGATGAGTCTTGGTAAACGGAGACTATCCTAGGGTGCTTAGCATGAATTAATGATTTCATATGGCTTTATAAAGGGAAGACTGCAAAGAAGGAAGAGAAAGTCTGAGAGCTGATATTATGGACCGGGTATGTATGTTTATGTGTGGATGGACATGTGTCTGTGTACACACTGACACTGTGCAACTAAATTACAAAAGAAACGATCACTTTCCTTTTCTTGAATTTAGACCCTTACTCCTGCTTAAAGACACTCCATGTTGGTGGTGCAGCCCTGGCAATATTTGGACACTAACTGAAAAATGCCACCTGATCTTGCAAAAGTATTAGGAGCAGGGCTATCAGAGGGCTCCCAGGTACCTGTTTTGGTCAGAGGGATTGAGAAGAGCTGCTGAAGAAGCTTGTTTTCTGATGTTCTCAGGACCACAACCACATCGGCAGGGAGAGTGTCTCTATTCTTCTCAAGAACCCCAGAAGCATCATATAATACCTGTAACATGAATAGCAAATGGCAAGTTAGCCAGGTCAACTCTCCATCAGTGGTGACATTGGCAAACTGTCTAGCCTGTCATTAACCAACCTCTGTGTACAGCTCATCTTGACATAGCCATGCTTTTATATCTAGAGCACCAGATAAGGGGAAAAATTATGATCTTGACAGGCCAGTTTATCTTAACTTACTGTCTAGTTGTCTTTTGAAGAGCCCTATCAAAGATGAATCACATCAGAATAATTATTAAAATATATTAGATACCATGTGCAAAGCATCCATCCTATGAGGTAAACACTATTATTATCTCCGTTTTATTGGTAGGCAGGTAGAGACTTAGGAAGAGGCTGAGTAATGTGCCCATGGTCACACATTTCACACGTGGTAGGTAGGCACCAAAATTCAGGCAGGTTGGCCCTGTGCTCACAACTACTTTAAGTACTCTCACTGCCTCCCTCAGTCCTCATGAATCTGAGCGATTACTCAAGGATGCTGAGTAGTTCTTGGTTCTCAGAACAGAGGGGATCCAGTTCAGATAAATTTTAAGGAACACCTTCACATAATTCCTTCTCTACAAATAAGCTTTGAATCGTAAATGCATGCAGCAAAAACACAGTCAGGAAAAAAAGTACTTCCCCTAAAATAAGGAAGGAAAAGAGAGTCAAGAAGAGGGGTGGGTAGGAAACAGGTGTAAAAGGACAGTGAGATGGAGAGAGAGGTGAGAGGAAGAGGACAGGAACAGGGAGGGGAATCAGGGAAGATGGTGGTATTTCAGACTCTGAAGAGGACATTAATATGCTAAGGTAAATGAAATATTTAAGGGTAAAAACTGAGTTACAATTTCTTTCTTTCTTTTTTTTTTTTTTTTGAGATGGAGTCTTGCTCTGTTGCTCAGGCTGGAGTGTACTGGCACAATCTCAGCTCACTGTGACCTCCGCCTTCTGGGTTTAAGCAATTCTCCTGCCTCAGCTTCCTGAGTAGCTGGGATTACATGCACAGGCCACCATGCCGGTTAATTTTTTTTTTTTTTTTTTTTTTTTTTTTGAGACAGAGTCTTATTCTGATGCCAGGTGCCAGGCTGGAGTGCAGTGGTGCGATTTCGGCTCACTGCAACCAAAATCCGCCTCCCGGGTTCAAGCAATTCTCCTGCCTCAGCCTCCTGAGTAGCTGGGACTACAGGCATGTACCACTGCACCCAGCTAATTTTCGTATTTTAGTGGAGACAGGGTTTCACTATGTTGGCCAGGATGGTCTCGATCTCTTGACCTTGTGATCCACCCACCTCTGCCTCCCAAAGTGCTGGGATAACAGGCATGAGCCACTGCATTCGGCCTATGCCCAGCTAATTTTTTTTGTATTTTTAATAGAGACGGGGTTCCACCATGTTTGCCAAGCTGGTCTTGAACTCCTGACCTCACGTGATCCGCCTGCCTTAGCCTCCCAAAATGCTAGAAGTACAGGCATGAGCCACCGCACCCAGCCCGAATTACAATTTCTAACAAAGATTCAAAATACATACCATAAAGTATTAGGTGGAGAAAAAACAATCCCCTTCCCTTGTACTAGAATTTCCCAATATCCAGTTAGAAAAATTAGTTCCAATGCCATGATATTAAATATGAAAGATAATACATCTTAAATCAATAAAATAATCAAAAATGCCTTTTATTGGACTCTTACCTATTTTCTGGACCTACAGCCTCAGCAGACCCCAGAGGAGCCAATTAGCCATAACTCAAATGGCTCCTTTGGGAATCACATAAGCAAGGAGCTTGGGTTATAGGATAGGGAATTTCCTGAATCTGTCACTAATCTGCTTCAGGAACTTGAAATTGAGACTGAGGTATAATGTATAAAAAGTGGAAATTTCAGTTAAGCTGTAAGAGCTTAACATCTGGATAATAATGTGAATTTTTTTTCTTTTCATCTGGACACTTTCAGGCCCCTTAGACATATGATTAAAGTACTAAAAACTGAGCCCCACTGTGATATTAACCTTCTTCCATTACCTACATGTCACTAAATGACTTTAGAATGTGAACATTTACCGCTAAACACTGCAAAAAGCTGTAATATGTTTTCTCTCTGGAGAGCTGTCAGTTATAGGCCAAACCTCAGGTGAGAAGCAGATGGCGACTCTGTGGGCCACCTCAGTGAGAAACTGTGTCTCTGCCAGGGGCAACTTTCTGTGAGCAGCACCACTGAGAAACTTTAAGGATTATGATTAGGTATTCAGGAAGAATTGAAAGGCGAAAGAAATCTGCAAGCAATTTCATGAGCAGCACAGACAGGGTAATATAGACACTTACCCTTTGTCACATTCGAGTCTAATAACTCACACTGGCCTCACCTTTCCAGCATAATGCTGAATGCCAAAGCACAGCTCCACTCCTTTGGGCCTCCAGAAGTATTTGCATCGTAGATTATCTTCAAATTTATCTGTGTGGATTTTTACATTGGAGAGTTACAATGTGAATTATTTCCTCTTTCAAACAAAAACTTGTTCCTCGAGCCATGAGTGACTTAGAATAAGGGCTATCAGAAGAAGGCCTTGTTATTAACAGGTAGAGAAAGATCATCGATATGATGGGTATTTATCCTTACATCCTTGCTTAGTTGTGTAGTGTAGTCTTTAGTCAGGTTGTGCTCTGAGATCGTATGTTCTCCTGCTGTTTGTAGGAGGAACTCCCAGCATGGACACTGATGACATCAGAGGCCCTGCCAGTTAGTTTTAGAACCATGAAGATATCCCATAGAAGGCAGAGGACCCTGGTTTAAACTCATCTGGATGACTTGTGACAATATTATATATAAAAGAAAACCACTGAGGGCTACGATTTCAACTCATAAAAGTGAATCTCTGCGACAAATCAATTTTCCATCTGGGGAAGAGGCTTGAAACTTTCTGCTCCTCCTTTAACACACAGTTTTTGCTAGTGCTGTGGTTGAAAGCCTACTAGGTGTGAGAAACTGCTAAGCACTAATGGCATGTAAAGACTGAGGCTTCATTGCCCCAGGCACCTCAAATCTCAGTGAGGAACAAAGGTTGTGAAAAACATTGAAGATTCCAAAGGAATAGGGTACAGAACAGAGGAGAGGGCCTCTGATGTCAAGGGGAGGTGCCCTATATTCATCTTATAGATAACAGTAACCTAATGAAAAGGTGGCTTTAGAAAGACTAAAACTAGCTGGCAGGTCCAGGGTATATGGTGAAAGTAGGAGCCTGGAAGCCAGGAGGCTGGAAAGGGCTTCTGTGCCAAATGAGATTAGAGGTGAATGGGGGTCCAGGTGAAGACATGAGTTGGGGGCACACAAAGGAGGAGAAGTAAACATTGACTATAGGAAAGAAGAGAGAGGACGGTGTAAAAATGATATCAACATAGGCTAATGCTAATTATGTTGGCAGGAATAGGAGGGTGGGAAGGGGTTAGGAATAGCGATAGGTTTGCTTTAAGATTCAAATTCTACCAGAACATTTCAATTCAATGAAAAAGAAGGCCTATATTCTTACAACCCACCACATAGACAAAATATAGGCAAATTTATTAAGGTAAGGTAAATTTATTAAAGCACACTCAATTGATGACATGAGCCAAGTTTTGTTCTAAATGTATATGTCTTTTTCTCAGAAGGTACCTACCAACCAGGGTCTGGTCAGTTGCTTGGGGAAACCGACTTTCCTCATCCAAAAGTGCAAGCAGTCCCAGGGGTTTCTGGAGGAACATGTCTAAGAGTGGGCGGTTGTCCTCATATTCCACGGGCATAGCATCAATGCCTTCATTCTGATATTCCATCTGGAGGGAAATGGATTGTGAATCTCTCCAGCCCGAAACTAGTCTTGGTACCACCAGGATACTTTGTCATGGACTTTCTGGGTTAGGCAATATTGAATGCATGTGGAAAGCAGGATATGTTTTATGTGTATAGTAAAGGAATCTTCCGCATACCATTGAGGCTATGCATTTAAATCTGACTTACGAGTGGCCTATGGCAGGCAGCTAAACCTAGCAAAAGCTCTCTCTCAAACGTGGACTTGGTAACTTATCATTTAGAAACTAACGTACAAGGGCCAGGTGTGGTGGCTCACGCTTGTAACCCCAGCACTTTGGGAGGTCAAGGTGGGTGGGTCACCAGGTCAGGAGATCGAGACCATCCTGGCTAACACGGTGAAATGCCATCTCTACTAAAAATACAAAAAAATAGCTGGGCCTGGTGACATGCTCCTGTAATCCCAGCTATTCAGGAGGCTGAGGCAGGAGAATCACTTGAACCTGGGAGGCGGAAGTCACAATGAGCTGAAATTGCGCCACTGCACTCCAGCCTGGGCAACAGAGTGTAACTCTGTCTCAAAACAAACAAACAAACAAATGTACAAGGAAGTAAAGCTGAAAAAAAATTTGTTTTGGTAACAAATATGGTTTAAACCAAGAAAAGAGATTTCTCTTCTGCAAGGAATTCTACAAAGGAGTCATCTAGGGTTGGAAAACTAGAAAAACTCCAGATTACCAGGGAAATAAATGGAAGGAACCTGGACTGAAACAAGAGTGGATTGGGAGAGGAGTGCTGTACAGATTTATCCAGCTCCAGTGAGAAAAGCAATGCTGATATTGTTACGAAAGGTCTTTGTGTCTATCTAATCACAGTTTAGTTTGTGTGTCCTCACGCCTGCATTAAAACAATTATCCCTGTATCCAAGAGTCTTGGCCAGAATGTTTCATCATTGTAACTACTTCATACAGAAGAGTCTTAGGGTTTAAGTAAGGTTGGGGTTGAACAGACTGCTCACAGGCTGCTGCCACAGGAAAAGAGCCCCCATCCCTTGGGTCCACTAGTTTCTCACTATGTCTTATTTATTATTAAACTCATAGAGGGAAGATTTCCATTTCTAGAAAACCAAGAACACATCTTACTCCTCCCTGGAGATACCTCTCCAGTTACTGTGGGATCTGGTTCACAGGAGATAGGGGATAGGGAGGGCTAGTGTAGCAGTTAAGAACCTAGTCCTGAATTCAAGGTCATCCTGTGTCATTTTGAACACAATCATAGATATTGGTTAATTAAGTAGAAAGGACACAGCAATATGCAAAAGTGCATATTGCTCTTTTCAGCAATATGCTCAAAAGAGTTTTGGTGCAAGATTTAAATGAGTAACTTATCACCAGCTCCACTCAAGTGAGGAAATATACCTTTCCACAGAAATCAAGATCTCTTTTTTTTCAGACAAATTTAGACTATTTAGCCAGGACTACTTCACCCTATTTCCTCTCTAGAGTCTTTTACCTGTTAATCTACAGGCTTTCTGCTGCAAACTGTGGGCAACTTGGAGACACCTTTTCCCCATCAAGTTTAGTTACTTCAGAGTTCACTATTACCTGTTCAAGAGCAAAAACGTGCTGATTGAAATAGTACTGGATTTGCTCATTGGCGATGTTTATGCAGAGCTGCTCAAATGAATTTCTCAGAAAATTCTCGAATCCAAAGATATCCAAGATCCCCACATTCATTCCATCTTCTGCACTACTGCACGACAGAGAAGAACGAAACTCTTTAGGAGAGGAAACACCCGTCTCAAGATGAGGAGAATATACGTGCACAGTGTTTATCAACCCGAGTACCAAATTCACCCACTGATGGAAAGAGTATGCTGCCACCTCTAAGAAAAGAAGCAGTTTATGTCTTAAACTATTTGTTCCTTTATCTGTCAACAGTATTTTCAACTTCTTTTTTAAGCAGTAGAATCCTTTAAAATCTTACTGAGAAACTTCATATATAAAATAGATTTTTAAAAGTCCCTTTGTTTGAGGCGGTTATAGCTGTTGCTTATTTATTCTCCCACCTATCTACCCACAAAGGTAACTGGAAGAGTACTCTTCAGAATTTGATGTGGTGAATTCTTCCCCAATATAGGAAACCCCCATGCTTAGGAAAGAGCAAGAAAAAGCAGTCGAAGAAGTAGGAAAAATAATGCAAGATACTGTGCGTTAAAAACATTCATAAAATATCTCTGATTCTGTAAATAACACTATGAAAAGGATATTATTATCCTCATTTTACAGGTGAGAAAACTGACTTAGAACGTGCAGCTGATTAAAACCCATTTATGCCCGGTGTTCCATTATTGGAACGCTAAGCATATGGGAGTTATTTACATCCTACTGCTCAAGGTCATCACCAAGGTCTGATTGCAAAAATTCAAAAAATTGCAACCTCAGGCATAAATGGGTTAAGCTGTAGAATTTGGCTGCACACTCAGTTTGTCCAGCTCCCAGCCAAGACTATTCTCTCAAATACTACACTTTAGTGGCTCCTTCAGTCATTTGCCTGTCAGGTACAAATGCTTCAAGTCTCCTGGATCTCACCTGTGTCTTCTAAAAGAAAAGGCCTGAAAGCTTTAATAAAGAAAACCCCAGCCGGGCGCGGTGGCTCAAGCTTGTAATCCTGGCAATTTGGGAGGCCGAGGTGGGTGGATCACGAGGTCAAGAGATTGAGACCATCCTAGTCAACATGGTGAAACCCGTCTCTACTAAAAACATAAAAAATTAGCTGGGCATAGTGGAGCGTGCTTGTAATCCCAGCTACCCAGGAAGCGGAGGCTGCGGTGAGCCGAAATTGCGCCATTGCACTCCAGCCTAGGTAACAAAAGCGAAACTCCATCTTAAAAAAAAAAGAAAGAAAACCCCAGAGAGGACCCAATGCTTCCTTTTGCAAACGCTAAGAGACGGTGAGGTTAATGACAGCTCTCTGGAGCCCTCTGCTCTCTGAGGAACTTGCCATATGTTTTTGTCTGGCTGCAGGAGTGTGTTAATGCGATTCACAATCCAGCTGAAGAGCCTCCCATACAGGGCTTTGGACATGGCATCTCGAACGTCTGCAGCCCTGTCTACGGTGTTGGCACGGATGATGGTCTCGCCCCGGGTGACCACACAGTGGGAGGTGAGCGCCTCCTGGAGCTCTTCGGGGCTGATGCACAGAACAGAGGCAGCTGAAACAAAGAGTAAGGATGACACAGAACGTAGTCAGACCTTCCTTCAGTCAGTCTGTCAGCATTTATTCAACATCTACTATGTGCCAGACTCCATCCTGGTATTTTAGACTCAAAGAAAAACAAACTAGGACCCTAACCCCAAGAAGCTTCCAGCCTGACACAGTATCTCTCAAACTGTTCTGAAAGCTCTCACTTCATAGATGCTTGATGAAGAAAAGGAAGAGGAGGTGGCCTTTTGACCAATAAGTTGGAGAAATAGCTGCAGACAGTATTCTACCCTTAGTCACAAAATACATTCGTATATTAAAGGCCCTAAAATGACCTACAGTTTAACACAAAAAGAGTTTTACTTTATTTAAATCAGTTTATTTGTTTGTTTTTCATAATTGAGGATTCTTACTCATTGCGCCACCATAACTACCTGTGGAACTTTCAAAATAAATAGGTGCCTGCTTTCTCTTCTGTATATGCTGATTTAACGGATTCAGAGATTCCCAATAGGTCCAACCTCCTGTATTTTTTTTCAGTTTGTAGAGGATTTTTGAAAAACAGCCAAGGTTAAAAACCACTGCTCAAAATTACCTGTCATAGAATTATTTTCTGCAGAAAACTAGCAGCTAATGGAAGGAACACTGGTGTTCCACAGGACATCCCTGGGGAAATACTAGTCGGTGAAAACATCCAGAGCCATTAGAAGGACCAGCAAATGCTGCACTGTATTTTACAGGGCCTTATAAAACTACCAAAGTAAAAGAAGCACATGCTTTGGCAACAACACAGCACACAAATATCAAATAATTACCATTTTGCAAAGCTTCAGCATTGGGCACCTCACTTTTATCAGTTTGATGTTGAGAGGAAATAGCTGCAAACTCAATGTTCCCAATATTCAAAATCCCAGCCAAAATTCTGTACACTGAGTGTACCTCCTGAAAAGAACACCAAGAACCATGGATGAAGGTCATTGCCAATCAAACTCATGAACCGCTAGACCTATGGTGGAAACTACTAGTTGTCTTCCAAAGTCCATTCTCCCTCTTCTCCTGGACACACAAATGTCCCAAACTCCTTTGCAGTTAGAGGTCATCATATAAGTAAATTTTAACAACGAAGCAAGCAGAATGATGTGGATCACCTCTGGGCCCAGGCCTCACGAGTGTGAGCACGCCTCCTTCCACACTTTTCCTTCTCATTATAGCCGGCTGGAACTCCCAGCAACCCAGCCTCAACCATGCCACTGATGAGGCTGCCTTAAACCAACAATTGCATTAACGGAGTTGCTCTGCAACTGAACTTCTTACCTTAAAATGGTTATTAAGAGATAACTAATCTTCTTTGTTCTTTAAGCCACATTTAGCCTTTTACCCTAATACCAGTTTCCAAATTCAGGTATGATCTTTTGTTTAAAGCAAGAGAGGAGCTGTTTCCTTAACCTCTTGAATATTGCATTTATGAAATAGTTGGGAAGACATTCATTCATGGCTCCTAGAACGTTTTAAAGTTAAATAATGGAATATATAGTTATGAAGTCAGGAAATATTTTGAAAGACTCACTAGAAATTATCTGTGATAACTGTCTGTGACATTATATTTTTATATAACAAGAAATATATATAATCAACCTTTGTTCTGAGATAGAGTCTTGCTCTGTCACCCAGGCTGGAATGCGGTGGCACGATCTCAGCTCACTGCAACCCCCTGCGCCTGGGTTCAAGTGATTCTCCTGCCGTAGCCTTCTGAGTAGCTGGGATTACCAGCACGAACCACTAAACCCAGCTCTTTTTCGTATTTTTAGTAGAGACAGAGTTTCACCATGTTGGCGGAAATTCTGATCTTTGCCTGCCTTAGCCTCCCAAAGTGCTGGAATTACAGATATGAACCACCATGCCTGCCCAACAATTGACTTTTGAACAACACAGGCTGGAACTGCACAGGTCCTTTTATACATAGATATTTTTCAACCAAACACGGATCAAAAATACAGTATTCACAAGATGTGAAACTGACATATACATAGAGCTGACTTTTCATATATGTGGGTTCTGCAGGGCTGACTGCAAGACTGAGTATGCTTGGATTTTGGTATATGAATTGGGGGGTCCTGGAACTAATCCCTCACATATACCGAGGGACAATTGTATTTGTTCTTTGTCCCCAGTTCCTGGCACAAAAGCATCTAAAACCCTTGAAAGTGAGTGATAGGAACGCTAGGAGTCTTTTGTTATTTACAAGCCCCTTTTAACTATACTTGAGTTTATGCTAGGTTGGTGACTCTTGGTGGACCTCTAGATAGCTTTAGGATGGAGAGTCGGTTGCCAGAGGAACCAATCATGTGATTAGAGAGAACTTCTGGGTCCTCCCCAACCCAATCTCTGGAGAGCAGAGAGGGATTAGTCATTGAGTCAATCACCAATGGCCAATGATTAACCAATCATGTCAATGTAACGGAACTTCCATAAAAACCCCTAAGTGATGAGGTTTGGAGAGTTTTCAGGCTGGTGAACGCATGGGTGCTGGGAGAGTAGTGTTCTCAGAGGGCATGGAAGCTCTGTGCTACTTCCTGCACACCTTACCCTATGCATTTCTTCCATTTGACTATTATTGAGTTGTATCCTTTATAATAAACCAGTAATGGTAAGTGAAGTGGTTTCCTGAGTTCTATAAACTATTCTAGCAAATTATCAAACCTGAGGAGGGGATTGTGGGGACTCTCAATGTATAGCCAGACAGTCAGAGGTATAGGAGATGTGAGACTTGTGATTGGTATCTGAAGTCGTGGTAGTCTTGTGGGTCTGAGCCCTTAGCTTATGGGTCTGATGCTAACTCCAGGTAGATAGTGGCAGAACTGAAGTAAATTGTAAGACACTCAGCTGGTGCCAGAGAATTTGTTGGTATGAAGGAGAAAAACCCACATATTTGGTGTCAGAAATGTGAGGAAAAACAGCTCCAATTATCTGAGCCCTATTTTTAGACTGAAAGTTGAATACATATGTAGCATTAGTGGTAAAAAGAAATTAAAGTACCTTTGTTTATTAAAAAATTTTCATTTTCAATATGTGAGACAATAAAATATATAGCCAGGAAAATTTTGCATTTTATGCTTATAGAGAGAAAAGTACTTTCACAAAGAATACTCAGGCCGGTAATTTGATTTAGTACTCTACATAGCAGCAAACGAATAGAAACTGTCACTAGACCACTGATAAAGTATTGCCTCACAAATTGCAACTTCCGTAAACATTACTCAGTAAAGCCAAAAAAAGAAACACAGACTATAATAGCGACATCTGCTGGATACCTGATACTGCTACAAAGACAAATGAAGATTTTAAACTAGGTTTCAACAATGGATAAACGTTATTCTCCCAACTTCTAAATCAAAGGCAAGATGTCATGTTTTTCACTTTAAGAATCATTGTTTAATCACCCAACTTAAGAGTGGCTAAGGAGAACACCTACTAAATAGGTGATCTGGGACTTGCTTGGATTTAACATGACAGCACCTCATTACTTTGATCAATACAGTGAGAGCCTTGCTCACTCACTGAGCAACTTCCCACAGAGGCAGATCCCAGGCGTAAAAGAGCCTCTTGCCCTGAGTTCTACATCAGCGTTTCTATATCCAGATATCTCAAGAGGTTATCTGAAACTCTCAGTACTCTCAGGAAAACAAACAAACAAACAAACATATTTCCCGTAATTAAAACACACATCCCACAATGACTCTTTCTCTCTTCATGTATTATAGTACAAGCTATGAAACCTCCCAAAATAAGACTTCCAGGCATTTCAACACTGGGATAATCACCAAGAAAATGGCTGTCAAAGACTACCCTTGAAACCAGCATCCTGCCCTGCTGCTTCTCTGGCAATATCCTCTTCAGCATAGTCCCTAGGCAGCCATTTAAAGCAGAAAACTGTGACCTTGAGCAAAAACTTTTATGTTCAAACACTGTGTAAATCACTGAAATTAACGATCGATTGGGTCTCTTTCCTTGATTTAGTGAGAACGACACAGGGGTAACCAATGTTCACCTTATTAAGGGGTTTACATTTCTGGGTTATTCCACCCACTTGACTCCATCAGTCCTAAACCTTGGGTTAATTAGTTCTCCCTTTCTGACCTGGGAACCTCTGTGTTCACGTCAAAATGTCACGTACACTCATGGTAAAATCAATCAGTTATATGTCCACCTGTGGGATTAATCTTCCCACCCTAAAACTTGTTGATCAATTTTTTCTTATTTTCTTCCCATAGAAAGCCATGGAAGGTTTTTTCACCTTCTTTACCTTGCCCATTTTCTCTTGCTCCATCTCCAGCTACAGAGCCTTTCCTGGCATCTCTGCCATTTTCTACAGAATCTTGCTATGCTGCTATCTCTATTTCTACCAGTTTCCAACTTTCTGTTATAAAATGGAACAACTTCACGGTTTCTCAATTTATTGTCGATGAGTATAAACTGATTTACTACCAACAAGCAAAAGTGGGGAAGAAAGAGCATTTCTCCATCAAAATCCTACTGCAGGATGTCTGATATTTCCTTCTTCTCTCATAAGACCCTTCTTTTACTGGTGTAGATATTCTCTCTATAGAGCTGAGGCTAATTTAAAAGCTGAGAGGAAACAGTTTTCTCTGTTACCCTGGTGCTACTCTAAGGAAATCCCCCTGGGCCTGGCTCACAGGCATCTCAGGTAGTTGTTTCTCTAGTATATTCCTAGGAATTTACTTCCTTTCCCAGTCTCTCTTTACTTTCTTTCTTTTCTAAAGTAAGTCTCTCCAGTTTTTCAGCAGTTCTTCCCTAAGTACTGCATTAGGACCAGCTGAAGGGCCTCCCTACAGGCTCTGTTCCAACACTTCTCAGCCTCCTCTGCAGAGCCTCACAACATTTGGCATCTTAAAAGTCAAATGTATGTCCTACTGTCTCATCAAGACGTTAGAAATCTTCAAGTCTCTCAAGTCATATTTTAACATATAATCCCTCAATCTCCCTTCAGAGCAGTACTCTCTCAATTCATAATCTATTTTGAAGAAAGGGAAGAAATTTTGCCCCAATCTCAAAGGCTACTCCCTAACCTCTCCAACAGGAATCTGCAGTGTATGTCCAATTTTGACTATCACATAGATCATCTGCCTAAAAAGTTTTCATGTAGCATTAAATATAAACATATATAAAACCCAATTTATTTAATGTATTATGGTAATTCCTACCAGTAAGACAAGCATAATATTAAACAAAAATAGTACGGTTTGGCTCCAGAAATAAGAGTTGAAAAGCACAATCTTCACAATATGGTCTTAGGTATAATTTCCCCAACCTTCCACAAGGAGTCATCATCATCAGTGGAAGACTCCTCCACCAGGGAAGTCTCTTTACAATAAACTGAGGGTCAAGTGTTCTTTCAGATACTTTGGCTGGTGTCCCAGATTTAAAATTCATGCTCCTGAGTCCATGTTAAAGTTTGCTACTCATAATTTTGCTGTAAAGGTTTGAGAAAAAAATAAAGGGACCCTGCGGGAACTAGTGACATTATAAGAAAGGAGAAGAACCATAATTTGGATTGACTTGACCAGTTCATTTAAGCTTTATCTAGAAATGTCTGCCAGAAAAACTTAAAAGTTCTGTTACATCAGCATTTGGTGTCTGTTTCCTGACTACTTTCAACTGGGTCTTTCTGAATTTAGTCACACTACTATGAGTTTATAAACATAAAGTGAACTGAGTTAACTCAGCAAAACAGGTTGTCTGCAGAGATAGAACCACAGAATTCAGAGTCGGAGAGATAAGATCCAGATTCTTCCTTTCATTTCTAAGGTTGCAGCTGATATAAACTGGTTTATTTCCTGTATGAATTAATATGGGACACGGTGAAAATACACACATTTAACACCATTACATTCTGGTTATTCATTTAACAGTATGGACCAGGCACTAATTAAAAGTGTTCACCATCTTTTACATTTTTTTCTTTTACGTTTATTCATACCAGTCATTCATTTATTTCTATTGTACCTTTTTGTCCCAGATGGCTTACTTTGAGGACATATACTTAACATACATAATTTCTTCTGTTTTTAATGTTTTAGTGTTGTTATACTAAAACAGATTTTAACAGTTTTTAATATAGTTTAACCTGAAACAGATAGCATCTGTTTTATTATTACCAGCAGTACATTGCTATTATTAAAACAGCACCATTATCTACTTTCTTTTAACCCACTTATGCCTGAGGTTGCAATTTTTTGAATTTTTGCAATCAGACCTTGGTGATGACCTTGAGCAACAGGGTGTAAATAACTCCTACATGCTTAGCATTCCAATAATGGAATACTAAGCATGAAAGGGTTCAGCTAGGATCAATCTCTTCACAGTATTTTATGACTATATTTGTACTCAAAACAAAATATTAACCCTATTAATAATGATTATTAGCCTTGGCTTCTCTATGGTTCCTGTACCCTTTTAAGGAAGTGTGCCCCTGAGCACTTTGGCATGACACCAGTGACTTAAAAAAAAAAAAAAAAGCCTGTTCTATAAGTTAATAACCATAAAGGTCCTTTAGCAATGCTGGAACCTGTTTAATTGCTCCCCTCTAAGGAGCCAAGGAAAATATATTTATATTTTTATCTGACCTTTGAGATTTTCCACTGTCTGTCAGTTTAAAGCCTGTGGGAGGCCAACAGAGAAAATTAACAGCTGGCTGTGGGGGGGAAAAAAGGTGCTATTATGACTAAAATCAACCATGCAGGGGAGGGAAGGGCTAGCCAAACACAAAACATTACACAGAAGCAATCCTTTATCTGGAGTGGCCGTCCCAGGGTAACTGCAGTGTCTTGTAATCTAATCCCTTAAGATTTAACACTCTCACCTACCTCCTAATCATTCATCCCTTTTGTTGAAAAAGCAAAAGAATCCATGTATTTTGCAAAATTGATGGCATGAAGCCCAGAAACTATGACATAATATATCACAGAATAATATTTGAGCCTAGGGTAATAAATATTGTCTGTCACCCTAGCATATATTTAATAGAGACAGCCTGTATCTAGGATGATAAGAGTAGTACAGTATTGGCCAGGCACGGTGGCTCATGCCTGTAATCTCAGCACTTTGGGAGGGTGAGGTGGATGGATTACTGGAGGTCAGGAGTTTGAGACCAGCCTGGCCAACATGGTGAAACCCTATCTCTACTGAAAATACAAAAGTTAGCCGGGCGTGGTGGCGTGCACCTGTAATCCCAGCTACTCAGGAGGCTAAAGCAGGAGAATCATTGAACCCGGGAGGCGGAGGTTGTAGTGAACTGAGATCCTACCACTGCACTCCAGACTGGGTGACAGAGCAATACTCTGTCTCAAAAAAAAAAAAAAAAAGTAGTACAGTACTTAGAGCTATAGTTAATAATATGCAACTGTGTACCATGGAGAAGGAAGTAACTATATGAAAGTTGAAAGGGTTTTCATTAAATTATCTTGTTACCCAATGAGCTACTTGAATAAATATATTTATGTGACTAAGGTATAATCTACATATTCTTGTACTGCTACTCCCAATTCACTTTAGTGGCTGGAAAAACCCTAAATCAGAAAAAAATGCAATATGGTTTTGGTATTTGTTATTACATCTGTAAAGAATTCATGACAATGATAATCTATCAGCACATGGTCCTTACAACAGTGCTCTCCTAGTTTGATGTTCATCTGGGCTTCTTGTTAAAATGTTTATATTCTTTTTTTTTTTTTTTGAGATGGAGTGGTTGCCCAGGCTGGAGTGCAGTGGCACAATCTTGGCTCACTGCAACCTCTGCCTCCTGGGTTCAAGCGATTCTCCTGCTTCAGCCTCCTGAGTAACTGGGAATACAAGCACGCACCACCACACCTGGCTAATTTTCATATTTTTAGTAGAGACGGGGTTTCACCATATTGGTCAGGCTGGTCTTGAACTCCTGAACTCTTGATCCGCCTGCCTCGGTCTCCCAAAGTGCTGGAATTACAGGCATGAGCCACCGCACTGCCCAGCCTAAAATGTTTATATTCTACTTCACTCATTCTAGACCTCTGGGTTTGAATTTCTAATAAGCACTCAGTTGATAAAAATGTTTCTGGTCCTGGGACCACACTCTGAGTAGCAAGACCTTATAACATGACCAACGTGGCATTTGAAAAGCAAATATCCTGTCCCAAGTTAGAAATATCCACATTTACTCATACCCATCTAAGAATATTGCCACTTGAGTTGCCTCTTGATGATCACTTACTTTGTCCGTGAACCCTATAATCCTGAAGCAATGCTGAATTGCTTCAAACTGTCTTCTGTAAGACTCCTTGGATGTTATGTCGTGCATCACCCTTCCAGTTTCATCAGCTATGTACCTAAATGAAGGGGAGTATGACCAAACAGAATGAGCACTGACTTGGAAAGTACAGGCATTTCCATTTGTTGTTTGTTTGTTTTTTATTTTATTTTATTTTTTTATTTTTATTTTTTTTTGAGACGGAGTTTTACTCTTGTTACCCAGGCTGGAGTGCAATGGCGCGATCTCGGCTCACCGCAACCTCCGACTCCTGGGTTCGAGCAATTCTCCTGCCTCAGCCTCCCGGGTAGCTGGGACTACAGGCATGCACCACCATGCCCAGCTAATTTTTGTACTTTTAGTAGAGACAGGGTTTCACCATGTTGACCAGGATGGTATCAATCTCTTGACCTCGTGATCCACCCGCCTCAGCCTCCCAAAGTGCTGGGATTATAGGCGTGAACCACCGTGCCTGGCCGTTTGTTTTTTAAAGATGGGGCCTCACTCTGTTGCCCAGCCTGAGGTGCAGTGGTGTGATTATAGCTCACTGCAGCCTTGAACTCCTGGGCTCTAGTGATCCTCCTGCCTCAGCCCCCCGAAATAGCTGGGACTATGAATGTATGTCACCACTCTCAGCTAATTTTTTTTTTTTTTGAGACAGGGTCTTGCTCTGTCACCCAAGCTGGATCACAGTGGCACAAATTTGGCTCACTGTAGCCTCGATCTCCCAGGCTCAAGCAAACTTCCGACCTCAGCCTCCGGAGCAGCTAATTAAGAAAATTTTTCTTGTAGAGAGAGGGTCTCAATATGTTGCCCTGACTGGTCTCAAACTCCAGGCCTCAAGTGATCCTCCCACCTTGGCCTGCCAAAGCACTGGGATTACAGCCATGAGCTGCCACGCCCAGCCTATTTCCTTCATAGTCTAATACTATGGTGGAATAATGATACAAATGGCTGAGAAAAAATAAATATGTGCAGTTGAGTTTTTTAACTTTCTAGACAATGAAAATGGTGAGATAGTTCCTGCCACCTCATCCTGGGTACTTCAGTTAAATAGACTGTGAGTTTCCAGTTAGGAAAACAGCTCCATTTACTTCCATGTTTGTCAATTGCTAATTGTACATTCATCAAAAATTGACAACCAACCCCCCTGATACTTACCTAGGAGGTTTTTCCTCAGGGAGTCTGAAGTCAGAAAGCTTCTTTTGGTGATAAAGGCCAGCATAAATATAGTAAAATATGTGAAAATTTTTCTCTCCCCTGAAAAAAAAAAAAAACTGTAGTAATAACATATTCTGGCTTCCACACCTCAAGTAATTTATACCATTTTGTTTCTGTGCAAATTATTCCATGGCAAATTTGTACTTTCAGGCAATTAAATATTATAAATCCCACTTACAGAACAGTGATAGGATTAGTATAGTAACATCAAAATCTTGCATTATTATTAAACACACTTAACTTTACTACAAGCAAAAGGAGGCTTTAGAGAATGGGACATTTACAGGAAACAGTCAGGTTGCATATGTTGAGACCTTTCTGTTGCAGCCCAAATACCTACTGCCTTCTGCTTATACCACATGTTGCTTCAGAGGCAGTGAATTCCAGCCTAGAGACAACAGCCAAATCCTCTACTTTACTGGAGCCCTACAGGAGGTGGCCTGCAGGTCTCACAGCAGGTTAGGGAGCAGAATTTGTCCAGAACTAGGGGTCTTCACTCTCCCAAGCTGGTATTCTTAAAAAACTATTCAAAATGTCATTCATTAGTCTGGTTTACTGCCACCCACCTCTTTTAGGCTACCCTGGCTAGGGTCCTTTCAGACAGGTACTACTCTGAGCAGGGTCTGTGGACTGGTGTCAGCTTAGAACAAAAAAAGGAACTGGAAAGTACATGCCTAGATATTTTACAGTAAGTGACATTGCCATGACATCCAAGAGCATGATGATTTTTCTGATAATTAATTTTCATTGCATTTTACAAAGGTATTAGTTCACAATGGGTTGGAGATTAAAAAAAAAAAAAACTGGTCCTTTAGCCCAGATAGTTTGAAAAGCACTGCTCCATATCCCTTTCTTTCTTCAGGGGGAGAACAGTCTCTTCTGTTGATACCTTGGAATTTTGGCAAATCTTTTCTTTGGTCAAGCTAGCTCCATGGAAACAAATCTTGTCGTCCTTCTTCCCTTGTCCCCCTTTGTGGCATGGCCCTCATCCTGTTCAGCCTCTACTTGGTATCCCCATCTTCCTTTGGTTGTTTAACCTGTCAAAGCTTTTCTGTAACATTCTTTATCCCTGCCTTCTATTCTAGATTCCTCTACTTGCCATTTCTCACTCACTTGTCCACTGAACTAATAAATTTAGTTAAGAGATGGTGTCTCACTCTGTTGTCCAGGCTGGAGTGCAGTGGTGTGATCACAGCTCATGGTAGCCTCAAATTTCTGAGCTCAAGTGATTATTGAACCTCAGCCTCCCAAGTAGCCAGGACTATAGGAATACACCACCATGCCCTGCTAATATTTCTGTGTTTGTAGTGACAGAGTCTCACTATGTTGCCCAGGCTGGTCACAAACAAGCTATCCTCCTGCCTTGGCCTCCCAAAGTGCTGGGATTACAGGCATGAGCCACTGTGCCCAGTCCCTATTTTAATTTTTTAAAATAAATGTGTATATTTAAGATATACAACACGATATTATAGGATATATGTATAAACAGAAAAAGGTGACTATTCAACAAATAAACATATTAATTGCCAGTCACAGTAGACACTGTACCAGGTGCCAGGGATATGGGACTAAAGGGATTCATGTTCTCTGAGTGTCATTATAAGAAGCCAAGATGGATACAGGGAAACCAGTGAGGGGGTCCAGGTGAGAAAGCATAATAGCTTGGACAAGGTAATGGTAGTGGTGACGGAGAACAAGAGTAAGAGTAAATATTATATATATTCTGGAGAAACAACCAAAAGAACATCCTAATAGACTAAATGAGAACGGTGAGAAAGAAACCTAGAGTCTGCCTCCTAGATTTCTAGCTTAAGCATCCAGTGATTGTGGCACCCTTAACTGAGACAGAAACCGAAAGTCCTGAGATGAGTATCGCCTGTTCTTTAACCTCTGTTATATGCACAGGCTTTGGCCGGCCCATCTTAGTCTCACCTTCCTACAGTTTCTCTACAGATCCATCTAATTCTCAATTCTTCCAAACGTTTCCTGCCAATATGCATCCCTAGCCTAAATTCAGTTTGATTTCCATCCCTTTATCTGTCAAGACTGGCTAGGTTTTGTTACAGTAATAAACATCCCAAGATATTAGCAGCTTAACTAAACAAAGGTTTAGTTCTTGCTCAGAGTACATGTCCCTGGCAGGTCAGCAGTGGGGCTGTGCTCACTGCAGTCACTGATGGGCTGTGGCTGGCAGAGCAGCCCCCATCTTTGCCAGACTCTGGAGGGTTGCCATTAAATGCCCACTTGCCAGAACCAGTCATAAGACCATACCCAGCCACACAGGAACCCTACAGTGTGTCCAAAAGCAGGTAGAAGCCCAGCAGTTAGATGAACAGGACTGGCACAGGCCCCATCCTCTCTTCATCTCATTTAATTCTCGTAACAGCCTTGTCAGGTTGACAATATTATGCCCATGTTGCGTATAAGGAAAGTAAGGTATATGAATATTTACACCAATAAGCAACATATCACATCAAGTGACCTAGAGCTCTCCTCACATTATCTTTGTAAAAGACCATTTTACATTTGAACACAGAACACTATGGTTTCCATTCTATCAGAGGTAGCTCTCTAAATTTCAAAACCATCCTAGGCTGGGGAGACAGAAGCAGGGGACCTCATAAAAATTAATCAAAACACCACAGGGAAGCGTAAATGATGCTCACTCTATCTTTCATTTGTTTTATGTTCATGCCAGCCCCTATTGTGTGAGCAAACTCCAAGTACACGATAGAGGAAGACGCTTGGGTTCTCAAGCCAGAACAACTCCTGTAATTTCCACTTGCACAACATCTCTCAGACTGCCCACCTCCTCTTCACCTCCACTGCCTCCGCCTTAGTCTAGGCCAGCATTCTCTCTTGTATGAATTTGGCAACAGCCTCCTAATCTCGTCATCACAGTCCTTAGATCTCCTCCAGTTCATTCCCCATTGAAGCTTGTATGATCATTTCAAAATGCAAGTTGGGTTTTGGTGATTTTCCTGCTTGGAAATGTTCAGCCGGTTCCTATAGTCCTTAGAAAAAAGTTTGAAATTCTCATCCTGGTTCCAAAGCCCTACATAATCTGGTCTCAGTCTTATCTTTGCCACTTTTCCTCCTTATTCTGGTCCCCACCTTGTTGCCTAGCTCCTGGTGATCCTGGGATCTCAGATTAAGCGTCCCATACACAGTGAGCCTCTCTTTCTCCCTAGACGAGGTTATGTGTCTTTCCCTTCTCTTGTTTCACCTTAATAGCACCTACTTGCTGCCTGGTGCTTACTGCAATTCTTCTACATTTAAGTTTACTTGTTTAATGCCTGTGATCCTCTCCGACTTCTTCCTCCTATACCACGTACTCCAAGCCCCATGAATACAAGGACCTTTTCTATTTAGTTTACTCTTGCAATCCAACAGGAAGCACAGCACTAATATACAGCAGGGATTTAGTAATGCCTGAATATGTACGTGTGGAGCCATGCTATTATTTCAGGACACTCTGGTGTCCTAAAATAATAATAATAATAGCTACTATTATTAATAATTATAATTGTAGTTACTACTATTATAATAGGAAGAATAGCTAACATTTTGATAATATGTGCCACGCTAGGCATTATTTTAATTAATTTTATATAAAAGACCATGTTAATCCTCACAACAGACCCATGAGGTCAGCACTAGTAGCATTTCCATTTCACAGATGAGGTGTAGAGAAGGTTAGTGAAATGTCAAAGTCTGTGCTATTGATTTCTATTACCAAACACTTTCCCTTAAAAACAAATAATTGTTTTCTCTATCTGTCTCAATCTAAGGAAAAAATTAACATGTGGAATATTCTTGGTGTCTTCTTTGTTTTAATGAACAAGTTCAATTTTAAGGGTCCTAAGGGTTTTAAAACATGTCTGCATGCTGCTAAATCCTACCTGACACAACCAACTCGGGGGAAACAAGCACACCCACCCCAGCCCTTTGTACTCTTTCCATTAATTTCTTTTAGGTCAAAAACTACCACTGATCCTTTGCTTAAATAATTCTTTGCCCTTGGGGAGGGCAGGGGAATATTAAGAACAAGGGTGAAAACTGAACCATGAAAATTCCCCAAGCCTCCCAGTTTTTATTGCGGGGCAAAACGGAGTGATAAAGTAGTGCACCTACGCTGCCTGTTTTATGACTCTGGATTTTTCAAGAAGATATTCAGAGATTCTTGCCCCCATCACAACTCCAGTTGGTGTAAACATCATTTCCAGATATTTTCCAAAACGGCTCGAGTTGTCATTGATGGCAGTACGTGCGTTCCCAAAGGCTTCCACCAGGGAGTTGACTTGTAGGATTTTCTCTCTCAAGGTCTGATTATTGGCCTGTGCCAAACAGAGAACAGTCAAAAAGGGACTCTAGAAACATTACTGCAGCAAAGTTGCCAGGTACACCCACCCCTTGCCCACCAAAATCCACATTGTCTTTTTACAAAGAGTTCCATTTGGGGGAAGTTCGCATCAACCACCATCATCATTTTCTCATATGAGCAACTCCCCAAATCTGCATATGAATCAGATTTGGCTAGATTAGGACAGCAGTTTTAAAACTGCGGCCATATTTCATTTAAAATCCTTGACAGATAAAATGCCTACCCAGTTTAGCAAGATTTTTAAATAGATCCCGTAACCTTTCTGGCACTTATCATAATAGTCAATAAACCTTATCTATATAAATTCCACACATTCTTAGTCACCTAGTACACTAATTCAGAGTACAAGTAACTACTGAATGATTTTTGAAGTCATTCTTTCAATATCGAGTTCACCAAGCTAAACATTTTCATTTCCCTCAACTTTTGCTCAAAGACTTTTGTTTTCCATCCCTTTAATTACTACAGTAGCTTTCTGTGAGCCTGTTTCTAGTGCTTAAGCACTTTTACTACTTAATGGATGAATGTTTCTATTACATTGAAAACATGAAAATTAATTGCCGGTGATCTAGTAAATTTGCGCTGGCATTATTTTCCTCCCTATGTGAAAGAAGGATAGCATGCTGACATCTTAACAGGCCTCGCTATCAGCAGGCAAACATAACAAAGATGGAATGCCCTAATAAAGAAAAACCCAGTATTGTATCATTTATAAAATATGCAGTATGTAGGAAGTTCTAGCCATGATACATAAAGCAGGTTGGTCAATACCTTTCCCAAGAAAGTCAAATGCTGAACAATCAGGTGGGCGCTTTCTGTCTTCCCAGAGCCACTCTCTCCACTGATGACAATGCACTGGCACAGAAAATGAAGTGTCAAGTGAAGAATTTATAGCACAGAAACAACTCATGTGCTTCATATAACATCTACTACTGTACACCTTAATTTTTCACTGAGAAATCTCTTAGGAATCTTCCTGTTTCAGTACACAGATACCTTCTTCAACCTTTTGTATAGCTACTTGTTGTTCCATTGTACAGATGTACCATAAACTGTTTAAAATTAGTACAATATTGATGGATATTTGAGTTTTTTCTTTGTAATTATAAACAATATTGCAATGGATAACCTTATACATAAGTCATTATATTTTTATGCAAGTTCATCTGCAGGAGAAATTCCTAGAAATGGGGATGTTGGATCAAAAGGTAAATATGTTTGTAAATTTGATAGATATTACTAAGTTGTTTTCCTAGGGATTATACCAATATAAGACAGTGCCTGCTCTCCTGTAGCCTCACCAACAGAATATGTTAGATTTCTGACAATCTGATAGGTTAAAAAATATGGTATCTCAGTGCACTTTCATTCTGCATTTTAAAAATTATGAATGAGGCTTCTTTCCATATGCTTAAAAGGCTTTTCTTTTATGAGACCCATCCATGTTGTTTGGCCATTTTTTATTGTATTATTGATCTTTTTATCATTCATTTCTAGGAAATTAGTGGATGTGGCATAATAAAAATTATATATCGGGTCTTTGTCCCTGGTTCCTGGCACTGAGCTCCTAAAACCTTTGGAATTTCGATGACTGGTAAAAGTATCTTTTGTTATTCACAAGGAGTCCCTTTCAACCATACCTCAGTTTATTCCTAACAAGGTGATTCAAGGCGCAGCCCCTAGACAGCTTCAGACTTGTCATTAGAAAAATCAAACATGTGCGGGGCATGGTGGCTCGTAATCCCAGCACTTTGGGAGGCCAGGGCAGGTGGATCGCTTGAGGTCAGGGGTTCAAGACTAGCCTAGGCAACATGGTGAAATGTCATCTCTACTAATAATACAAAAATCATCCCAGCATGGTGGCACATGCCTGTAATCCCAACTACTTGGGAGGCTGAGGTAGGAGAATCACTTGAACCCAGGAGGTAGAGGTTGCAGTGAGCTAAGGTCGTGCCACTGCACTCCAGCCTGGGGCAGACAAGAGTAAAACTATGTCTCAAAAAACAAAACAAAACAAACAAACAAACAACAACAAAGAAAGATCAAACGTGTGATTGGAATGTGGGAACTTTCAGCCCTACCTCCCAACTTCTAGAAAGAAGAGGGAATTCTGAGATTAAGTTATACAAATTCTTGAACAATGAGATTTAGAGAGCTTCTAAGTTGGTGAACACATCGAGGTGCTGGGAGGGGGATGTACCCAGAAAAGTCATGGAAGCTCTGTGTGCCATGTCACCTCCCTGCCCCATATACCCTGCCTTATGTGTCTCTTCCATTTGGCTGTTTCTGAGTTACGCCCTTCATAATAAACTGATAAATGTAAGTAAAGTGTTTTCCTAAATTCCTTGAGTCATTCCCAGTGAATTATCAAACCTGAGGAGAGTCATGAGAACCCCTGGACCGATATTCGGCTGGGCAGAAGTGTGAGAAGCCTCGGTACTCCATTTGCAGCTGGAATCCAAAGTGGAAACTGACGTGTGGCCCTAATCGGTTAATCTGTGGAGCCTGTGCTAACTCCAAGCAGTGTCGGAATTGAATTCAATTGCTGGGCACCCAGTTGGTGTTGGAGAATTGGTTGGTGTTGGGAAAAATACAACACTTGGTGTCAGAAGTGGTGTCATAAAAGACAACACAGTAAGACAACTTCTGAACTGAAAAACTATGTAGTTCTCTCCATTTACTTCATCTCTATGAAATCTAGGGACATTTTACAAGTCTCTGGGAAAGGTAAGAATTTGGAGGAGCTATGTTTCTAAGCTACAGTAAATCCATGTATTCCATTTTGTAATCTACACTGGTAAAATATCACCTATTACTCAGTAAACCTCAAAGCTGGAAGTTCCCAGGTCTTAGGAAATCCATACAGTGATACTCTCAGAAAAATCACTTGCCAAATTAGACTACTTCTATTTCAAACAGAATAAAGAAACAAATAAAAATATACCTATTGAAAGTAAAGGAGGGATCAAAGGTTAGATATGTCACTACTGTGAATTAGAAGGCTAGAAAGGTAAAATGTATGAGCTTGTGTTTAGCATTGAGTTTAAGTTTTGTTCATTCTCTACCCAATCTATCAATTTTTCAGCAGCTAAATGATGTGGCACATGGTCACTGCCAACCTCTGTGCAATATTTCACACAAAAACGACTGAATCATGAAAATTCTAAGACCTTAATAGGAAAAAATTTCACTTATGCCATTGTACATGCTGTTTTCATTACAATCATTGCCATGTAATCAGGTTGTGTTTGCACTATTCTCATCATATTCCTATTAGAAAAATTGTTATTACATCTTATCAGAGAAAACGAATGCTCTTGATGTGAATGTTTTATGTTTCTTGAAAAGCATTTTCACAGTCTCCTGATGCTATGGCTTTATGCTCAAGTTCCACTGAGCTGCCATCTCATCTCCTGTTTCTTTGAGTCAGCACCAGCAACCAGAACGAAAAGCTTTCAGGAAGGCTTAGGAGCTGACGAGGAAGACAGAACACGTCTTAACTGTGTGGTTCTGTAGGAAAGGAAGGTGAGTTCCTACCTGGTCTTTGCTGAGAGTAACCATGCACTGGTAAGTGGCATCTGCTGATGCAAATATGTGGGGGGGATTGGAGGCACGTTTTACTCCATGATAAAGTCTGGAAAACTGAAGGAAAAATAATTAAAGGAAAATCTTCCCTGGACCATCTAATACTCCACTCCCTATTACCCATGAAACCAAGACTCTGTCACTTAGTAGGGGACTTGTTGCATCAGGAAGACTGTAGGGTACAGGTTGTGGGGTCTGCTGGCCTGAGTTCAAGTTTCACTTCTGTTCCTGGCTTCCTGAGCTAGTTCAAGGGAGTTGACTCTATGCTAAGTCTCCTTGTCTGCCAATTAGGCTTAACAATAGTACCTGTCCCACATGGCGTGAGAAGTGAGGTAACCCAGTGTCTAACATGCAGTAAGCACTCAATAAATGTTAACTATTGTGATAGTTTGCTTTAAAAAGGAACCCCGAGATGTAAAAATACCATTTGTACTGCATTACTATCTGCACTTTGGAGTATATACACCTAGAATAGCATAATTTTATTCTTACTTTTCCTTTCTTTTCATTTGCCCTTGTGAGTTTTAATTTCCTATTAAGGTGCAGTACGCTCTTAAAACATCCCTTACCTGTGGAGAGTATATGCTCAGATTCTGGAAGGGGTTCAAGGCAATTAAGATGTCTCCAACATATGTGTAAATTAGCAAGTCTGCATAACGTTTCTGCAGCTGATGGATAATTGTATCCTAAGAAAAGGGTAAATGGTATTGAGAGTAAATATTATTTCCAATCGATGGATAGATTCTAAAAATGACAACAAATTTATTCTGACAAGAACATCTTTCTCTAAAAGATGAAAGTAGTGCATTTAAATCACACAGTGACCCTAATGATCCTGAATTCATTAAAACAATGCCAGTATTTGCCTTGAAAGAAAAAAAAAACAGGAATATATGAAAAGAATTAGGCCCACCAGTCAAAATGTTGTATTTAAATTTTGTTTAATAAGCTGTTCCTACTGATAGAGCACAGACAAAATGGAGGTCCATTTCTCAAAGCACTGCACTTAAAATCTAGGTGGGAGAAATACAAAACTGAACACTTGTTATTACTCTGTAGTGATTTAAGCACTGAAACAGTCCCCAGAGTTAGACTCACCATGAACAGGTCCAGTGCAATTAACAGCTCTATTGAACATGCATATTTTAAATGGGGATTATCACAGACTTCAAATTTAAAATTCAAGCTATATTAACTTCACTATTTCCCTAAATGAAGCATTTTCTTATGAACAACAAACAACCTCTTAAGGGTTAATTGCAATATTTTATCAAACAGAAAATTATTTCAGCTGATATAATCCATCATTAAGGCTACAATATAAAAGACTTTATTGGAAAAAAATTCCAAATCCTTTTCTCGTCATCATTCTAGCAACTATCTAAATAAACACAGCACAGGATCAGAGTCACAGCAACTGAAAGCTCCCTGAGCTTCATCCCATGGATACAAAAACAAGCAAATTTTCAAACGACCTTAGGAGGACATGGTCTGCAACAGAAAGGTAAGACCTGTCGCACGAAACAAACGTCTTCAATGAGAATTGTCTACTAAATAGTTAGTACCTCGTCCAGAACCTCTAGGTTGACCAAATCATCCTCAAGGCAGTATTTTTCAGCATCTTCCACATGATAAGGTCTTCTGGTATGCATCCTCTCATGCCTAGAAATTCATCAAGAGAGTTTAAGCATTAAGACAGCAAATAATGTAGCAGAAAGTGAGCAGCAAGGATGGCTCATTCACAATCTTATCTCGTGATATGTTCAGAGACGTCAGAGACAGGGATAGGAGTCCAGTCCAGGGCCCCAAGCTTTTCCTGTCACTGTAGAACGACTGGGATAAAGTGATCTCCACAGTTCAAGTCTACTTTCTGCCAGAGTGAGGAGTGCTACCAAATGGGCCTACCTAATACATATATTTGCTTTGCCTAAATGCCAAAGACAGCACTTCCAGAATAAACAGCTCTGATTTCTGCTCAGTGTCAGGCATAGAGTTCTCACTGGGGTATAGCCATAAGTGCCTTACTTGCCTTGAGGTCCTCTTTCCCTATCTACCAGCAGCACCCCCAACTTTTATGATAGTTTTTTTAACCTACGTAACATTTTCAAAGATTAATATAGTAAATACCAAGTAATTGATCATTGTTTACATTTTTTCTTATTGATTTGAAATCCCTTTGTGACTTTTGGCTCATCCCACTCCTCTCTCATGAGGTGACCACTATTTGATGGGTTTCCTTCCAGTCTATTTTAAAATATTGGTCATATGCATATATGTACCCATGAGCAATATACAGGTTCTGTATGTATAGTTATAAAAATGATATCATACTTAGGTTTTATTCTGCAAGCTTTTTTTTTTTCATTAAACATTATGATTTTTAAAGTCTATCTACTACCTACCTACCTTCCTTACCTACCTACGTAGTTCAGTCACTTTAATCACTGGGTAGTATTATACTTTATGAATATGTACCTATTTATTACTCAGTCCTATGGGTTTTTTGTTTGTTTTTAAAATTTTATTTATTTATCCATTTTTAGAGATGGGGTCTTGTTTTGCCACTAGGCTGGAATGCAGTGGCATAATCATTGCTCACTGCAGCCTCAAACTCCTGGACTCAAGCAACCCTCCCTACTCAGCTTCTCAACTAGCTGGTACTAGAAGTGTGCGCTACTGTGCCTGGCTAATTTTTAAAAATTATTTTTTGTAGAGATGGGGTCTTGCTTTGTTGTCCAGGCTAATCCTGAACTCCTGGCTTCAAGTGATCCTGCCACCTTGGCCTCTCAAAATGCTGGGATTACAGGCATAAACCACTGTACCCGGTCTATTCGGTCCTATGCTGATCAACATTTAGGCTGATTCCATTTTTTTTTTTTTTTTTTTTTTGCTACTAGTAACAATGCAGCACTTAAAGCTGTATATACATCTTTTTGTATAAATATGTGAGTTTTTCTCCTGGAGGGCACTGTTCACCAGGGCTTTAAAAATCTTGTTTGATAATAACAATCCCCTCTGGTATACTAAAATATAGTTCTTTAATGTTTAAAACTAATTCAAGGGCAAAGTAGGCCTTTCCATTATTCATTTCATAAACTCATCACTCCTCAATGTGGTTTAGGGGGAAAGCATTGGCTAGAAGAGCTCTGGGCCCTAGTTTCAGAGTTGTGAGAAATGTGCTATGAGATACTCAGCAAATCCCTTAACAACCGGTGTCTCAGTTTTCTTTTTTAACCTTTTAATAAAAATGCTAAGAATCTGTCACTTTTCTTCATCTATAAATAGAATTACTAGGCTGGGCACAGTGGCTCACACCTATAATCCCAGCACTTTGGGAGCCTGAGGTAGGTGGATCACCTGAGGTTCGGAGTTTGAGACTGGCCTGACCAACATGGAGAAAGCCTGTCTCCACTAAAAATACAAAATTAGCCAGGTATGGTGGCACATGCCTGTATTCCTAGCTACTCAGGAGGCTGAGGCAGGCGAATTGCTTGAACCTGGGAGGCAGAGGTAGCGGTGAGCCAAGATCGCACCATTGCAAGCCAGCCTGGGCAACAAGAGCAACGCTCCGACTCAAAAAAAAAAAAAAATAGAATTACTTACAACTGATCTGTCTATCTCAAAGGTTGCTGTGAAAGCACATACAGTCATGGATAAAGAAATGAAATAAAGTTGAAACATGGACTAATTACTATTCTTACATCCTTGTTAAAAGGCGGAATCAACAATTTGCATAACTACACACATTACTCCGAATATCATTGACTAAACAGAATCATACCTAAACTGTCCTCCTACATACTGTAAATTCACTAGCACAGAAGCATGACTTCTTGGTTCTTCTCTGTCACTTTTATGCCCATCATGATCATAACTTATGAGGATGTCACCAACCAATACAGTTCTATCTAGCTAGACCCTAGAAGGTGGTGTTGACGGCAAGTTTCACGGTAAGTACCAGTTAGAAGTCATGGAATCTTGATGTACACCCTACTCTTTGGTGTGCATTTCACAAAAGTAGGTAAAAAGGAAGAAGCACACTTATCAGCTCTGCATATTGAGTCTTGAGTTTATAAGGTAATTAAAATGGGCAAATAAAACTGATTTTTCTCTTTCTAGCCTATTAAAGTAAATCTTGCTTTTTAGTCTCCATCACTAATAGATTTGAAAAAGGGATATTTGAAGCGTGCTATTAGTTATCTCCAGTTCTAGAACCAGTTTTGCTGCTAATTAATATAAAGGTCCAAAGTACAATGAAGCTTAATTTTTATTTAATCAAATCAAATTTATAACCTAAGCACTTTAAAATTATTAAACAGAATGATTTCTCTGTCTTTACATATTGGTGATGGCAAAGAAAAACCAAATTGGTTTGTAATACACATTTTTACTAAAACTCAGAGCTGCTGCCTGCCTCTAGCTAATCATTTTGCTAAATAAAACAGCAGGAGGATACATATTTCTGACCAAAATTCCCTTCACATAAAATCTAAGAATAATTTTGCTTGATGTTCATCAAAAAATATCATACCACATTTTCATGAAATAATTAAATTACCATATGAAATTCAGCTAGTTATCTCCTTCCTATATTTATATCTTATAATTGCATAAAATAAGCTAAGTCAGAGTTTATTCTGCACATCGTGTGACAAAGAAAATCAAGAATTAAAAAATTGCCTCAGATCTGGTTCTGGTCAAGATGGAGTAAGCACTCTTCACTCTTGTCTCCTCACTGAAGACAACTAAATACCCTGGACAGAATGCATGGAGCAGCTGTCTCAAGATGCTTAGAAGTAAATTGTAACAGGTATATTAGAGAAGGAAGTCAGAATTCAAAACACTACTGAACCAGTGGTGGGTTTTCCAGGGTCTTTTTCCCTTTAGTAACTCCTGACCTGGACTTAATGGCAGTCTAAGCTGCAAACAGGAATGCCGAGCTTCACATTGGATGACATTTTTATAAGCCAATTAAAAATGGAAGCACTGATAAAACCTTACTTGCAGTCTCACAAATAGATGCAGTCTAGTAGAAAGTTTTAATTTTCAGTGTGAATATGCACAATGCAGTATCACTTATTTTAAAAAATCTTCCCCAATAATATTGTATTAACAAAAAATAACTTTTTAAAAATTTTAACTGCAATTATTAGCAATGTGTGGCCTCTTTCCTTGCTTCCAGGAAATCAAGTTCTTTAGAAGTATTTGCTCCTAAAAGTGAAGTAGGCTATCTAGAAGTTGATGTAGATGCAGGATATCTCTACTACTAAGCGGACAAAGGCCACTTCATGTCCCCAACCAGAAAAAAATACATATATATACATACATATGTGTGTAGCACTATTTCTGCTTTCCCCAACTAGTGTTCTTTGGAAACTGCTGCCTGCTTAGCTTTCCTCCTCTGGCTATGGGATTTGGAGATTCTATTGAAGAAAAAAAACATTATTTATCTCAATTTGTAGTCTCCTTTAAAAACATCCTAGACTTTGCATAAGCTTATAGAAAGTGTTATATTGTTTTATATTTCCTTATTTTTAGTTGAAGTTAATAAAAATAAATTTGGTTTAATTTTTTCAGTTTTACTGAGTTAAGTGATTTGTGTCATTAGCAACTATAGATCTTAATTTCCTTTAAATTCATATGCTCCATCTAGTGCCCTACTTGAGAATTGCATCTATTATCAATTTTTGCTGATGAATTCCTCATTTAGTGTCAAAATTACAGATCTCTAACTAAAAGCTACTTGGATTGAGTATTCCAAAAGGTCTGAGGAATGCAGACTTAGATAAATGAATGGATAAATAGCCAAAAACATCCTATTAAATCAAGAGTATGTGGTAAGGCATTGTAGTTTTAGTAAAATAAAACTCAGAAGATGTTTTCAAATTCCAGTAATGTTGATATTGCTTTTCCTAGATTTCCTACTTGTTTTTATGAGTCTGTAAGTATGTTGGCTGCCAAGGCTGACTTCTCAGACAGTTTGTGAGTTGGAGCTTAGAGGGAAAGTCTTGGCTTGGACTGGTTCCAGGAGTTTGGCTTTGATATGGCAGTGGAGGGGCAGGTTATCGAGAGCAGGCCTGCCCTAGGTTCCAGGGATCAGGTAAAGGGGAAACCGGTACCTGAGTCCATGGATCAAGTAGGGTGGGAATGAGGGCAAGTCTATACTGTCAAGTCCAGGGAAATGGGTGCGGCGTAAGAATAGAATCTGAAGAATGGGAAAGACAGAGCCACAGGTAGAGGCTGGGAGTTTCCCTAAAACAATAGTGAGCATAGATGAGGTAGAGGATGGGGGTCTTTGTTGAACTCTTTGGCCCGGCCAATGGGTGGGAAAGGAGCTTTAGAGGGCACCAAACTGGTTCAAATACTAGAGGAATTATTCTCATGAAATAAATTCCTAAACTGCTGCTGCTTCTTTCACTCTAGTTTAATCTCTGTATCTGCATTATGGTTAAAACCATTTCTGTGTGAATGCTCTGTAATATCCCATCACTGCACCTGATAGCTTCCTTGTTAGAGATGCTAGTCCTATGAACTATATTGACAAACATATTTTGCCCAAAAGTGGCTCCTTAATCAATTAGCCTCTTTCTGTCTGTCAATTATACCTGTGGAAGTGGAGACTTCCATATAGATACAAATGGGGCTGCAAGAACTTCATGTAG